GAAGTCTTAGAACTAGCATCACCTGACGATTCCAATGGCTTGTACTCTGTTCCAGGAAGATCCAGTCGAGGATAGTGAGATTCCACGTCATTGCATTCTACAAAAGAACATTTATGTTCTTAACAACTGCTAATTATCATTCATATTCAGCAACATAAATACCAGATCAAATAAATATTAGATCAACACATTACATAAAGGTTCATGATAAGGATGTCGGCAAACTAGTAATGGAAACTGTTAGAAAATACAAGGAACCATTAGTTAGGAAGTTCGAGGCACTGACCCAACATATCCTTGAAGAAACATGTAAGCTGAACTTTAGTCATTGAGAGTAGTAGTAATTTACAACAGAAAGCCTTCTGACATTACACACTAAAGCCAAAAGTCTTTAGATTTGGAATCTCACTAAAGCCAAAAGGCATTAGATTTGGAATCTCACTAAAGCCATAATTAAAGAGATCAATAAAACAGTGTAAGAAACTTGCCTAAAATAACTGTGGCAGATACAGGAATCTTGGGTGACTGGAACAATCCCAAAGACAAATAAATGAAATTTTACAAGCATCATGGAAACAAAGTAAAAGTGGGAGTTTTGTGACCACCGTTGGCAATTTGTCATATAACCAACTCAGAGATTCCATTAACGACCGAAAAGAAAGAAACAAAACAAAGTGTGAATATGCCTCAGATAGAGAAACAGAAGAGTGCCAGCACAAATAGTTCAACCTGTGCAAGAGGGTAGATCAGCTCGAGCTGGAAGTTGTGTAGGAAGCGAGGGAGCTTGTTGGCTGTGATGCTTCGATTGATTCCAGCTTAGTGTTTGGTTCCAACTCTCGTGTCGATCCTCTGATAGAGCTTCTGGAGAAAATTTGAGCCAGCATCAAACCAAAGAAGCAGCTAGCTAGTGTTTTTTTTTTCCTTTGGGAAAGTGTAGCTCCCTAGTGTTGCAGCTGGAGTTTTGTGATATTCAAAAGAGATAGTGCATTCATACTTTAGGACGGATAGCTTAGCAGAACCAATGTCAGATTGCTTGATTACTGTGAGAAGAGAGACACTAAACACAGAAGATTTCATGTAAATACCACATTCTGTATCTCCAGTTAATTCCTTCTTTCATCAACTATGTAGCATGCTTAATTTGTGGACCATGTTGAGCTAGATGATTTGGCAATCAGGAACAAGTGTTTCATTTCCAGAGAGATCACATACAGATTCTCATAACAAGGTATTAAATCGAGAAATGCCAAAAAAATGAGTTTGCACAAGAATGTCAAATTGGGTAAGTTTTCAAGGATCGAATATTTCAATAAAATCAATCAAGCAAAAATTAATAAGGAAATCATCACACAATAACCTTGCCACCTCAGACTCAAGTAGTATTCCTTGCAAAATCACTATTCAATCATTCTTTAATTCCAAAACATTGGTCACTTTCTAATCCCATAGTCCCCTATTTAGATATGTCATTATTTTTGTTTATTGATGCCATCACATACCTGACCTCACATGTTTCAACAATTATGATCTTTGAAATGAAATATCAGTTTCCAGTTGATCGCTCTAAGCTATCAATTCAATTACCGTTCAAGATGATCAACTGAAATTTCGGGCGAAAAAAATTCAAGTAGAAATGGGAATTATCACATTAGTTTACTTGTTTCAGCTGACAACTTAACCTGTAATCATTGACACACACACACACACAGTATATATGGACGGCCAGCTGACTTGATTTTATCTTGGCAATTTTTTATTTGTAATTTTGTTGTTAATTATTTAAGGTGAGAAATATAAGCCAGTTAGAAGTCATGAATTGATATGTGTACAGAGACTGATAGATATCAACAGCTATATTCAGAAGAAGTTCCCGAGAAAGTTTGAAAGAACATGGACATGCCAGACCTTTTTCCAAAATCTCATGTGCCAGTCTTGACAATCTATCACTGCACTGATTCATTGACAGTTCAAATCTGAGGCTATCAATTTCCCGTATGTAGAGATCAATAGCCATCCACCTGGATAAAAGGGAGACATCTTTTGTCACCTGAAACAATTGAGAATTTACCTCGCAATGAGATGATGGCTTAATGGACATGATACTACAATTAATACAACATACTGTGTGAAACTAAGACCACATGCTCAAGAATGTTCTTCCAGTAAGGATTCTAAAATTGCTACTCACTTTGGCAACTTCGGAATTAAAGTATGACTCAAAATTCCATGTTTTCCTCTGAAGTTGTTAATCAAGGCTCAAATCTTAACTCCTACTATTTATATACTAGTAAAATTTCTGTAAAGGGGGACGTGAATTGGATGGGAAACAAAATCTTGTTTGGGCTGTTCAATTTTTGCAATACAGTCTGGGAGAAGGCATTTTCAGAACATAGTTTAGCTCATCCATGTCGAATGCCCCATTCCATTTCCAAAATGTCCACAAGTTACTCTTTGTGAGACACACCTCGCTATTGTATCACATGGATCATCTATCAATATCAGAGATCAATTTGCAAATAAAAGATTGCATGCTTCTAGAAAGATATATGATCTTTTGAATTATTGGGGAGAGTTCCTTCCATACAACTGTACCAGTGAGATGCAAACAACGAAATTAAGTAAATGTTGGTAACCAACCTTTGCTGTTACATTTGGATTCCCATCTCTATCACCACCCATCCAAGATCCAAATTTTATTGGTGTGCATGTCAATGGGAGTGGCCTTCCAGTATGCTAGAAAAAGAAATGCAGAGAAAATCGTGAGAGACCAATTAAAAGCCACAAAATATGGTATACGAATTAAAAGAACCAGGAAATTGAGATTGAACGAAACCTTCTTCAGAGCACTGCTGACACGGCGTAAATAGTGAGGTACAGCTTTCCAAAGGGACTGCTCCACGATGTGTAATCCTGAAAGAATAATATACATGATGTTTTGATAGAACCAAAGGATTGATGTTTTTGTGTAACTAAAACTCGATGAATTTACCAGCCCTAGCTTCATCTACTGGTGTAGGTTTATGGCGCCTAAGCTCATCTGTTTGCCACAATGAAGTGATCTCTCTGACCTACAAAATCCAGAAAGAATTAAGGATCCTAAGGAACACTGGGAGAAATTTCTCAAACTTTATTAGGAAGAGACAGCACCAGATCTTCTATTAGCATTTCTTTATCTTCGCTCCCAAGATCTTTTCTGTCACGATACTCTAAAAGATGCTGTAAAAAAACTTAGAATGTAAGCCATGTCCACCGCAGAAAGTTAAATAACAGAGTTTACACATGTATGAAAGATCATTACAAAAAACTTACAGCAAGTCTAAGGTGTTTATATTGTAATGTTCTTCGATTTATTTGTGTGGGATGAGCAGTGAGAACAATCTCAACCTCCTGCAACAGAAAGAAACCAACTCGTCAAAGTAACAAATAAAATCCCACAACTCCTCGTATGCTGCAATGAAATGATATATATGAACAAATAAAACTAAAAGGACACGAGAAAATAATACTAGACCTGCTTGCAAACAGTGTTGTAAAGCTCATCCGTGGAAACTCCACCCTGCACCAGCTGATTGAACGTATCATCACAAGATTTTGATAAATGTACCACATCCCGCGCCTTTCGTACTCTGCTGCATAAGAGAACATTACTCTGTAAAACATTTTTGAGGGATTTATAACACCGTCTAATTGAAACAGTCCACTAAAATACAACTTTTTCGGATTTTGAATAATATAAAGGAATTTCATGGTCATTTTTTAGACACGAAAAAGTGCAGAGTATTGTTTTCAAAACGAAATGGGGAAAAAAAAACCTGTAACCAAGAGGCCACTAAGGGAAGCTATGCATGAGTATAAACATAAAGAAGTGTAGCAATCCAGAAATAAAGTATCAATTCAGGATTATTATCACTTTCAAAGAATTTAAAAATCAATGACAGAACTATTGTAGCATCTAGATGAATACAGAACATTCATAATCATTGGAGTTCAAATTTAATTCAAATCTCTATAGTACCAACTACCAGCCATTGAAATGAAAGCTGACTAATTGAACTTATGATATATCAACAAAAGGATAAGAGAGTTCAGATTTACCTGTGATGGGTTTCGGCTATACCCATCAAATTGAGATAATGACTGAATGCCCTAGCAAGCGTCAAGGCTTCCGCTAATGTCATTTTTGATAACTCTGATGCCAATTGCTTCTCAAGCAACTCTGCCGTATCCTCAATCCCTGCCATTCTCATGTTACATGCACTCTGTACCCAAAATGTCCATTAGAATTTGTTTTCCTTACCATCTTGCAAGTACCATATATATAAACACACACACATACACATACAAACAAGATCAGAAAAGGAATTATCTCCCTGAATCACAGTATAAAAACTTTCTAAAAGCAGCTAAAATCTTAGTGTTCATAAATTTGTGTCGTGTGTATGAAATAAATAAGATCAACCCATGCATGTAACTGAATAAATCAGAAAGCCCAAAAGATAAAAACAAAAAAACACATAGCATAAACGAATCACAGATTACGACCTAATAAACATTATGATGAGCACATGCATGTACATGAACAATAACAAAACCCACAAACCCAAATAACAAAATGCACATTAAAATAAAACAAATACATTTAACATATGCATATAGGTAGTTAGGTACAGACAAAAAAAGCCCAGAAACCCAGATAACAAGATACACGATGATTTGAACTAATGCCTGTAGTTTTGAATACATGATAAAATACCAATACCCAAAAAACCACAGACTCAAAATAGACAACATCAAGAAGTATTTGAAGAATTGTATTGGGGTATTTGGGAAAGAAAGACTTCATTGACAAAGCTGAAAAACAGAGAAGAACAGAGGACCTGAGCGAGGATTTTAGTTCTTTCAAGTTTTTCCATGAATTTGGGTCCTACTTCCCCTCGGAGGACGTCGTTAAGAAGGTTTTCCAGTAGTCTACAGTCATCATCGAAGCTCTGAAATGAGATTTCTTCCGCTATGTCGTCTGTTATGTCCGTCATTGTACACTTAGAAAAACAGAGCAAGAAACAGAGCCACCACAAGATGAATCCTCTAGGTGGGGGTGTCTGTTTGTGTCTATATAGAAAGAGAGATAGAGATAGAGAAAGAGAAAGAGAAGAGGTCTAGAGAGAAGCGGGATGGGTGTGTTGATGGAGGAGTTGTAAGACAAAGAGGAGTGTTTGTAGAGGGAAGAGGGAGGAGAGAGAGAGAATGTGTGAGGTGAAGAACTTCATGGGGCTGATATTTTACCGTACAAACTGTGAAGATGATGTTGACAAGTGTCAATTACAGCGGAATCAATGGGACAGTTTTGTTAGGACTGCTTTTATGTGCACCATCGCTAATTTTTCAATAATTATATGTAAATTTAATTTATTTTTATTATTTTTACTTTATTATTTATCATTGGATTAATAATAAATTTATTTAACTAATTTCATAACAATAATGAAGTGATTAAAACATTAGATTCAATTACATTACTCCATTTTATTTTATTTTTTTGTTTTGAGAGTGGGATTTACATTACATTATAGAGAGTTGTAGAGGTAATAGTGATAATTTTACACACAATTATCTATATAATAAAGTAGTTAGTTTTTCGTTGCTCAAATCGTTTTGATCTAATAGTTCTAATTAGATTTTTATTTTTTTTACAATTTTAAGACTTTCATCTCTCGTATAACTCTCTTTCTCATACTATTATCTTTTTTTTTACTTCTCATGTGTTGTTTTTATTATTATTTATTCTATAAAACAGATGAAATTACGTGTTATGTAATTATTTATTCTATAAAACTAATTCAAAATTTTTATGTATTTGACGTCATGTGTTTTGTCACTTGTTTCTTAATTTATAAATAACATTTAATGTAAATAAAAAATATAACATTGACTATAAACACTAAATAATATTCAACATAAAATAAACCTTAGATTGTAAATTAATATATAATTTTATCAAAAATTAAAATCTAATTTTGTTCAATTTATATTCAATTTTTTCACATTAATATCAAATTATTTTTTATTGTTATCAAATTAATTTAATTAATTTTTTGGGTACTAAATTATATCAATTTTTTGGGTACTAGTCAAATTTTATTAAATTTTAATTTTTTTTGGTGCAAAATATAAAGAAGGACAATTATAAAATAATAAAAATTTTTGGAAATAAATAACCAATTTTTGTTAGTAACATTGATGGGAGGGAGACAAAGGGTTTTCGGGTGTAATGAATTTCAAATTATAGGGGTTTCCATGTTATTTATAAAATGTTAAAAGATATCTTTATAATATTGCCCAAATTCAAGAGATGCGAGTGATTTTTACCCTTTTTTAATTAGATATTAATTTATTATTATTTTATCTTAAAAACTTGAATTGTTATAGTTCTAATAAAAATAATTATTGGTTATGAGGGTTTGCTGGTAACCAAAAAAGAAATGTGTGTGGATGTGTTTCTGTGTATTATGTGGAGGATTAGACATTTGATGATTAAATTTATAATTATGTTGTGTCATTTGGGGTTGAATGGTAATAATGGTGATAAATTCATGAGTTTTATAAATGAGTAAAATTTTGTTGATTTTATTTATCGTTTAAAGACTGTAAATTTAATTGTATTCTGTTAGTATTTTTTTTTTTTTAGTTGAGATATTTTATTGCACATGAATAGGGTGGATTGGAAATATGATGATTAAGTTTATAATTATGTTGTGTTTATTGGATTGAGTGATAGTAGAGGTGATAGATTCACAAGTCTTATAAATAAATAAGATTTTATTTATTACTTAAAAATTATAAATTTCAATAGATAATATTAATATTTTTTTTAGGAGACATTTGTATAAGATTTTGTTTAGGTTATTCTTCTTCAATTTGGGCAATTGTTTAAATTTTTTTATTCAAGAACAATTTTTCTTGACTTTCATACTTATCTCCCTCTGCATACATGTTGTTGCATCGTTGTTCTTCTTCGTTGGTTCAAGTACAAGACACAAAATTGTGTTCGTTGGAACTTAGAGATTGAAGTGTTATTTATCTAAGAATGTAAATACGTTCTATTTTGGGAGACAATTACTCATTAACTTTGAGCTTCGAAAGGGGACAAATTTGTCTTAAAGAGACTGTGGATACAAATTTATTATTTATTTATTCTAGTTTTTTGATTCTGATCGTTGCTGTTGTGTTTGCATCCATGTGAGTACATTATTTTGTTTTAAACAATAGGCTTTCTAATTTATATTTGCAACAGTTATTAAATTTCTTAAATCTAATTATATACACCTTGGTTTTTGATAACAAATACGACCTAAGAATGACCCAACACGACTCTATAACCATCCTACTTTTTCTTTTTTGTTGGTTAAAAATGGTGATCAGGGGCGATTAGGCATAATAACCTTCTCAAGACATTACCTTAAAATTTTCATCTGTTATAGAATGTTTAATTTAAATCATAATTACTAATCTGAAATAATCAAGCCGGTCGCCACAACACCACCGAAGGGAAAGAGAGAATTTTAATATTTGGATTCTCACCATAAATTTAAGAGGAACTTATGTGATCTAGCTGCCCCAAAAATCCTTCTCTATACCCAAAAATTCTTGACTAACCCAAGTCATATTCTCATGCATTTGATTTTAATATCCGCTATCCATGCTGGTGAGAAAATTTTAATACTATACGGAACAGATGGAGTTATAAACACCACTAAACCACATTATATTATAATTTTTTTTTGCTAGTGTGCCCATTAAATAAGTACAACTCATTTTTTTGAATTGAAAAAAAAATATAAATTTTAAAAAACGCTTGTGACGCACAAATTGGAGAAAATATTCATTACAACGACAATATTGCGTCATCAATGATATCACATTTTTTTTTCCTGCCTAAACCCCGGGGTAGCGATGCATGGAGCATCACCCAAGGCCACAATATTAAACACTACTATAAATAAGCCTTTGGAGTAGGGGTGACAATCAAGTCGTATTGTGTCGGGTTCATGTCGTGTCGAACATTAATCGTGACGAACATTAGTCAATTCAAATCCAACTCATTTAATTAATTGTGTCGTGTCGAGTTGACCTGTTTATTTTCGTGTTATGTTCGTGTTCATTTTTGTATTGACCCCCATAAACTTTGAAAAAAAAATTTAACAATAAAATTTTATTTTTACTTAATTGAATCTCTCCTCATACTTTTTCTACAAATTAAAAATTAACTTAATAATAATAATAATGAGTAATAATATCTTTTTTATACAATAATTATGTCAGTACTTGATAAACAATTATAAATAATTAATATTTTATTTCTATAATACTAATTAAATATGTTAATCGTACATCACACAACCAAATTAAACATCATAAATAATGGAAAAAATAAGACATCAAAACATGAAAACTCATATATGTAACGAAAATCCAGGTCAATCTCCTTGGAGTTAAAATTTCGTGTTGACAGATTAATTCGTGTTAAACGGGTTAAACCCGAACACGACCCATTAACACTTGTGTTGACGGATCGTGTCAATACAAGGGTTGACAAAAAAAATAGTCAATCCAAACTCATTTATTCATATCGGGTTATCGTGTTGTATTAAAAATTATCACCCCTACTTTGGAGGCACTGTATCAAAAAAATGACACTTAAGAGCCCATAGGCTAATGTCACCAATGATATCACATGTTTAGTGGATTTTATTATTTTAGTAACTTTCAATAACCGTTACCCGGACTAATTAACACTTTGAAACAATAGGTTCTTTTATGCTACATGGTGTACTATTATTAATTCGTAATATTACGTGTCATTGATAACATACAATTATTTTAATAAAAATAAAAATTTAACTATTTGATCATGACAAACCATGTATATCCAAACATCATATTCTTGATCATTGGAATCAGATTGGATTTTTTATATTTTTTGGAAAATTTGAGTAGTTTACGAAAATTTTAATGATTGTACACTTTTAACATTTCTCAAAAATCTCTTATTAGGTGTCCTACCTTTTACGTCGACAAAAAGTCCTACATGCATGGATAGTGGATAGCTCGGGTTGGACTAGACTGCCCAACATTTTAGCATGGGATTAAGTCATAAATAAACATAAGATTAAATAGTTTATCGAATTATGTTACTTAAATTCATCCTTTCAAAACCTCCCATACTCATCAAACAAATAGCCTCTAGTGTCTTCAGGGCAGAGCTAGGATTTTGTCTCACTGAGGTCAATATATTCATAACTGATTAAAAAATAAATTTGTCTAATTAGATTCAAATATAAGAGTTCGTCATTAAGTTCATAACAAATGAGATAATAAACTACACATAATAAAAATATAATTCAAAAATCCAAAATATAATCCAAACTAGAATTTCAAGAAATCAATTAAACAATTTAATCTTAGGGAAGAAAAATAGCACTAACCAAAAATCTCAGATAGCCAATATGAAAATGAGCTTTAACAAAAATTCAAAATAGTTGAGTGGTGACACAAGACAAAACAAAAAAAATCTACATAAGTCCATAAATAATAAACCAAATAACCATCAATTCTACAAGAGTTAAACTAATTTTCTAATATAAAAAATCTGATTTTAGATTAGTGCTAATACTACTATCAAAAAATTTAGTTAATGAATTACCTCTCCTTAGCTTCAGTATAATCTTTTATCAAATTTAATTTGAACAATGATTGAATCCAATAGGATGATTTGTTGGTGAATATACCAAATGAACTAACAAAGAAACTAAATAATAGAAAGAAGAGGGGTTGGTGGCTGCACGCATGGATTGGACCGGAAGTCTGGACGAATAAGACGAAGGCTTACGAAAAAAAAAAGTAGGCATGAAAAGGAGCTGCCAAAAGTTAGCATTTAAATGTTTAAAATTATATTAATATACTCTATACATTAAGAAAATTAAGAAAATTTTAGTGGGATAAGTTTAAAAAATTCTTAAAATTTTTAAAATTATACTTAAGTTCCAAAATTTTTTAAAATTTTAGTGGGGGCAGCTGCCCCCATATTAAATCCGCCATTTAGTGTCTTGAAATCTGTCAGAGTTATTAGGGCTGCTAGTTTAAATAGGTAATTTTAAAAGATTTTATAATAA